ATGCCACCCTGGTCCTACTCAGCACTGCTCAGGTAGGTATATCTATATCTCTATGTATGTAATTCAGTGTGTAGGGATTCAGTAATATCACCTTTTCGGTGGGGCTGAGGGCAGGATAGCTCCTTTAAGATTCAAGTTAGACCCAGAGCAGATATTTTGTCCCATTGACATGGATGCCGCTCATCCATTCCTAATGCCCACACATTACATTGCTCCAGGAATTGTATATGATGGCTTAGTCCTCCAACTCAGGACTGCTCAGGTAGGTATATATGTATGTATACAATTTAAAAGAGAAGCCAAAGCCAGGTGTCGGCAATCTGTCAAGTCTTGGCAGCTGCCCAAAGATGCCAGCGTCACCCATCTGTATTAGACCATCATCTCTGGCTTGCTGGATAATGCACCACAAGGCAATGCTGTTGAACAACTGGCGTGATTTGTTCAGGCTTAAAATCCACCAAATGCCACATGATGATCTGAAGAATTACAGAGGGTAATTGGTTAGAACAGACACGAGGACTTCAGTAATTGAATCCAGGGCATTGCAACCCTGACCTCCACAGATAAGGCCCGATATCAAAACCGGATTCTGCAAGTTGATAGATTATATTGCCCTTGATGTGGCTCCCCTTCATCATGTTCCACTGGAAAGTCATCCACCATCTAATCTGATTTTATATACACACAAATAGAGAGAAAGAGTGTGCGTGCGCACAGCTGTAGAATATTATTTCCACTTCCTAGGAGTCTGCAAAGCTTTGGTGCTTCTGACTTTTCATCAGGAGTTCACCACCATGGAAGAGATTTAAGCTTTACATTGGTATTCAGAAGGCTGAAAGCATGGATTTCTTTTGTTCTGGTAGTGGTGATGGCAGGCTTAATCCTTTAAAATGGGAGTCTATTAAGATAAGGGCTTGGAATTAACCCTCTCTTTAAAGTTTTACTCAGCAAGGAAAGGCTCCAAGAAATGGATGGAAGGAAACCCTGGATGTTGTTTCAGACATGGGCATAATATTGATACAGAAATGGATTAGCTCCCCTTCACACAAACTTTTAAAGGCAGAGTACAAGACTCAAAAGTAGCAATGGGATGCTATGGATGAAAGGGAATGGCAAGCTGTGTATTAATCACAGAGCTCTTGGGCAGTCCTTTTATGGACTAGAATTCCCAGCATCCCCCAGCCACCATGGGCACTGGGATTCTGGTAACCCAGAAATGCATTTTTGCTAAATGATTCAATATTATAAAGTCTACAAAACAATGTTTCTTGAGCACAACTAAACACTCTCTGATTTGAAGATGCACAGTGCCTTTGGATGTCAAATGTTGTTTGTTGTTGTTGTTGTGTCTTCAGGTCATTTCCAACGTATAGTGACCCTAAGATGAACAGGGTTTTCTTGGCAAGTTTCTTCAGAGGAGGTTTGCCATTGCCATCCTCTGAGGCTGAGAGTGTGTGACTGGGGTTCCATGGCTGAGTGGAGATTTGAACCCTGGCCTCCAGAGTCAAACCATAATAGGTCTTTGGATGTCAAATGTGTGTATAAAATGTTTGGTTTATTCAGCTCATTTTTTTTGAGAGTCCATGAAAATATACGACATTGAAATTGACCAAAGAGAAAGAGAGAGAGAGAATTTTGCAGGAAAGTGTTCAAAGGAAATCCACTTCAGCTTTCTGAAGTGCCTGCTTTCAGCTCTTGGCTTTCAGGAATGGAGTGGCGGTTTCCGATAAAGCAAATGGCTGTTTTGCTCCCTTGTCTTTTATCCTGCTGTTCTTAAGGTGTGCTTCAAATGCTTTAGTAAGGATGCTGGATCCATTTTCTGTGCCATGCTTTTGGATGCGGGCCCATTTTTGCAGCCTTGGAAAAAGAAGCTTATCAACTATTGTCATCCGCTTTTCTCTTATCCGAGGCAGCAGACTGAAGACCTAGTGCAGATTGACACCGCTTTAACTGTCATGGCTCCATCCTATGGAATCCTGGGATTTATAGTTTGTTGTGACACTAGAGTTCTCTGGCAGAGAAGGCTAAATAACTCACAAAAACATCCATAGCATTAAGTCATGGCAATCAAAGCGGTGTCAAACTGCATTAACTCTGCAGTGTACATGCAGACCATGACGCTCTGCCTTTACTAAGAACAAGGTGATGCTCAAAGGAAATTCAGGTTGAATTCTCCCATAGACTTCTTTCATAGACTTCAGTATATGCATATTGTGCATTTTGGTTGCCCAATAAAGGTATCACTGTTTGGTAGATTTGCTACTCCTAGATGTTTACTCTTTACTAGTTAATCACAAAACTGCAGCAACACACTTGTTAGGTCCCATTGATTTCAAGGTAAGAGGTGAGCATTTACCTACTTGAGTCTTCCCCATCAAAACCAATGCCTGTCTTGAGTTCTATTCTGCCTTCAGTCATTAACTTTGCTAATATCTTTTCCAGCGATAATTTCCATCAAGGTAACTTAAGTACAGAGAGCTATAATCAGCTTCACTATAGCTATTACCTAGAATGAAATAATGCACAATAATCTTGAAGTGACAGTTTGTTGAATCAGTGTATGACTTATAGCAGAGAATATAATATCACTTTCATTGGGCTGTTCATCAGCACTCTTGCCATGGCAATGAGAGTTATTGTTGGCTTCTGTAGAGAGAGAAAAAGTCTCTTTCAGCCAAACTCATTTCTCAATGGGGAGGGCTAGCAATGTTCATTTTTTTTTTTTTTTTGCAAATCCCCAATGATCAGAATGCTATCTTGTAAACATTTGCTGCGCTAAGCATTAACCCGCCAAATCCAATACTTTACACCCTGTATATTTCAAAAGCCCACATTTCAACAGCAGCTATAATTGCGGAGATGGTTTCCCAAAGAGTAATATAGTAGATTGCATTCCAATGTTTCGCCAGCACATTTCAGCTAGGAGGTTTTGGAAGACACCCAAAAACTCTTCCCACAGTATGCACACACACACACACACACACACACACACACACACACACACTGCACAGTCTGAGATTCAACACAGGGTTGCACAGTGTACATTTCTGTATGCAAAATTATGCCTCGATGGTCAACTTTGCGTTGCATGGCAACATTGCACAACTGAACATGCAAGCAAATGTGCAACCCAATGCACAACTGGATATGCAACTGGATATAGGATCAAATGCTCCAGGGAAAATGGAACTGAATACAAAACCAAATGCACAAATAAATGTAGAACCAAATAAGCAACCATACACACAATACAATATGGACCCAAATAAGCAGCCAAATTCACAAATGAATGTGGAAATAAGTGCACAACTGTGCATATGCACACACAAACACACACATGCACACACACGACACAGGCTGAGATTTGATAGCAAGGTTGCCTAGTGTATATTTCTGCATGCAAAATTATGCTTGGATGGTGACCCATGA